AGGTTGCGGCCGGTTTGGTGTGGCATGGAGCATGATGCCGGTGTCCCACAGTTCCCCGGCGGTCAGAGGCATGTACAATGGCCATATAACGGGCCCTGTCTCTTATACACATCTAGATGTGTATAAGAGACAGCTCTCTCTCTCTCTCTCTCTCTCTCTCTCTCTCTCTCTCATTTTATTATCATCTCTCTCTCCCTCTCTCTCTCTCTCTCTCTCTCTCTCTCTCTCTCTCTCTCTCTCTCTCTCTCTCTCTCTCTCTCTCTCTCTCGTTAATTCGAGACAGAGAATTTCTGCAAGAGCTCATGAATTTTCCAGACTATTAAAGGCTGCAACACCTATTTTCCCTTGAATTCGATCAGAATGCTTCCCTTGCTTGATACACACTCACAAGGCATAGGCTTGTATTTCCCAAACTGTCCCAGAATGAGCTCCTACAGACTTGCACAACATTTTGCCCCTCATCTCCACCAAATACAATTTGGGAACAAAGGTTCTTCCCTCAAATGGACTCACACAAGAATATGTGCTTGTGTGAATGTACCGAGGAACGGTTCCTCCTTCTGTTTATACTCCCACAAGCAAGAGAAAACCTCGGATCGGTCCATTTCTGTCCCTTTTCCCTTTTTCTTTTCACCTAAAAAAGAGGAGAAAAAACAGACGAACGACGATTGAAAGCAAAATGCAGGCGGCCTCCTTGATGGCAGGTTTTTCTCGAAGATTTCACCTGCACTGAATCTTACTGCAATACCTTATCCGGTTCAACATCACAAATGATCAACTGCATCCAGTTCGATGCACCTTGTGTATTATCGAGTCCCTCAATGTCAGCACCACTCATCCAGCCCCTTATCCCGTCGCTCATCAGCTGGTGGGGTCCTATCCAGTCCCTCATCCAGCCCCAAATCCAGTCCCTAATCCAGTCCTTAATCCAGCTCTCTTTCCACGTGACTTGTTACGCAGCCCTTGTCCTGATGTGGCATCCAGTGGGTAGACCGTTACTGACCTGTAGCAGGTGCCATCTCTTCATCGGGCTTCTGACGTGGCCACTCATCATGCTCCCGCTCCGCTCTCTCACAATCTCTTTCCCTCTCTCTATCCCTATCTCTATCCCTATCTCTATCTCTCTCACGTTCCTTCTCTCTCTCTCTCTCCTTCTCCCTTTCCTTCTCCCTCTCGATCCTCTCTCTCTCTCTTTCCCGCTCGCGTTCCCTCTCCTTCTCCAAACGCTCTCTTTCCTTCTCCCGCTCCCTTTCCCTATCTCTCTCACGTTCTCTCTCCTTCTCTCTTTCCCGTTCTTTCTCCTTTTCCTTCTCCTTCTCCCTTTCCCTCTCAAGCTTCTCCTTCCGCTCTTTGATGATCTGCCTCAGCTCTGACACATCTTTGGTGATCAGGTCCACTGGTTGAAGGAATGTGAAGTCCCCATCAACATCTACTCTTAGCTGCACGTCACAACACACAAAAAGACATCCATATAAATAGTTACCATCTTCCAATAAAATAAAATTAAAAAAAAAAAACTGATATTGGCAAATACAAAAAGAGAAAAACAGACTGGTATTTACTACAGGATGGCCGAGACTAGATGAACAAGTACTGCCACAGGCTGACCCATATTAAGCTCTCTCTCCAACCGGCGGTGAGCGTAAGGAATCCCACGACAAGCAAGTGACAATGGCAACTAAACCAGCCACCCGATTCGCACCAACAATGTACCCACTGGAAGAAAGGTCAAAGCCCGCAGCAGTCTGGTTTTGTGCTACACCTGCTTCGTAAACAGCCAAAAGAAATAATTAAAGAGGAGCAGGGCGAAGGAGAGTGGTGAGACAAAACGGCAACAACAACAAAACACAGTACCGTCAGCAGGGAAGGGGAGGGGAGGGAAGGGCGTAGATTTTGAACAAACAACAATAGAACGGCTTGGGGAGGAGGAGGAGGAGGAGGAATACAAAAAACGAAAAGGAATTACAGGAAACTAGATCCTAAGAAGAGATCAACAAATAAAAGAACAAATCAACAAAACCAGAAGAAGCAGTTCACATAGAGAACGACGACCTGCAAGAGCTCTGAGTTGTCAGCATGACAGCAGTTGAGTTCGATGGGATTGCTTCAGAATGAAAGAAAGTTGCAGAATTCTTCCCCCATACACGATATCAGCAATTGTCTAGCTCAGCTCTCTGCAAAAGGCCGTCTACCGAGTGAAAGGCACACACTGATTATTACTGCCTTCTTACCCAAGATGAGGGGAGGGGTGGGGGGAGGGAAAAGGTTGCTGGGAAATTGGGCAGACACAGATAATCGCCCTGTGATTAATTAACGATGACAAATGAGACGACCACACGAAAGCATGTAACATAGGAGGGAAGAAGAAATCTTACATCATTAACATTTGCCTCTAGCTCCAAATATTGCAAGCCTTTCTGGATGAAGGACACGAGTGCACCAGGTGGGACATCGTTCCCATTAATTGCATATTTGTTCAAACATGCCTCGTACCCAAGCGTGAAGGCAGAATGAATAAAGCCTGCGCAGACAGCATGGAGATCCAAGTCATGATAGACAGACAAAAGTTAGGGATGTGGTTTCTTTGACAGAAGATGTAACATAGGCCAGAGGCATTTTGCACGTGTCACATAAAAGCACTTGAACAAGAAGAGAGCCTGATATCCACTAGCATCTCTCTCTCTCTCTCTCTCTCTCTCTCTCTCTCTCTCTCTCTCTCTCTCTCTCTCTCTCTCTCTCTCTCTCTCT